TATATATATTTTTTTTTTTTTTTGTTACATTGGTGCTTTCACTGACATCAAATGGCGGACAACAACGATCGTACCCGGCTTCAAACTATGCAAATTCAGATTAATACTCTGACAACGTGGATGGAATAACAACGCAAGTATCAACAAGAAAATCAAGATCGCTTTGAGGAAATCCAGAAAACGATGGAGTTGTTACTTCGAAATCACGGTCGCGCCGTTGATGGTACAAACTCAGATGAAGGCACTTCAAGCTCTTCGGTTGCTTCTATTACTTCTTCTGTTCGAGACATTTCCCTTGGTTTTCCATATTTTGATGGTCATACTCCAGTTTTGGAGTGGATTTTTAAAGCTGAAAAGTTCTTCAGATATCATCATACACCAAATAAGGATAGAGTAGAAATTACTACTATTCATTTTGAGAAAGACGTCATTTCGTGGTTTCAAATGCTGCAACGCATGGATTCGATGCATTCTTGGTCAGATCTTACTCGTGCATTGGAATCTCAGTTTGGGCCCTCTTCTTTTGATTGTCCTATGGGTGAGTTGTTTAAACTCTAGCAAATTGGTTCCGTTTTAGATTATTACTTGAAATTCACAAGTTTAGCTAACAGATCTAACGACCTTTCTAATGAGGCTATTTTAAATTGTTTTGTGAGTAGCTTGAATCATGATATTCGGCGAGATGTTGTGGCTCAGAGTCCTACAACCTTGATTAGAGGTGTGTCATTGGCTAAATTGTATGAAGAAAAATATGCACCAAAAGTTGCCTCTCGTCCTAACAATTATGTTCATAAATATACCCTCGTTCATGCTACTGCTTCTCCTTCCACTTCAGTGTCTGCTACTGCTATTCGACATAACAATAAGTCTCCCTTGCCTTCCTTATTACCCACTCCTACTACCCCTCCTCTAAAAAATGGGGCTATTAAGAAAATTTCTCCGGGTGAAATGCAATTGTGGCGTGAAAAAGGGTTGTGCTACTTTTGTGATGATAAGTTCACTTTTAACCATCGTTGCCCCAACCGCCAAATGCTTATGCTATAATTTGATGAGGATGAAGTTGAATCTGAGACCATTTTTGATGTTTCTGCTGGCGATAGTAATACTAACTCTGAAAGTGGCATTGACAGTCCTCCTCATTTGTCTTTGAATGCTCTGAAAGGTGGTCCTAGTGTGGGGACTATTTGGTTTATTGCCCATATTAATACCTTGCCAGTGACAGCCTTGGTTGATGATGGAAGCTTAGATAATTTTCTGCAACCCAGGGTAGCTAATTTTCTGAAATTACCTATGGAACCAACACCCTTATTTAAGGTTATGGTTGGCAATGACAATTACATGACTGTTGAAGGAATGATTCTAGATCTTAATATTCAAGCTCAGGGCATCAAGTTTCAACTACCTGTCATTTTATTACCTATATCTGGAGCTGATCTCATATTGGGAGCTAATTGGTTAAAACCACTAGGATCTCACATTGCAGATTACGACTCATTGCAACTTAAATTCTTGCACAATGGACGATTTATAACCCTACAGGGTGAGAAGGATCATTCCCCTACTCAGGCTCAATTACACCATCTTAAAATAATGGTTTTTACTCATTCTATTGCTGAAGCTTTCAGCATGCAACTTTTGGAATCTCCTGATCTTCAATCTTCATTAGATGAGTTGACAGCTGAGCTAGCACTTGACTTGGCCTTATTATTGCACAAGTATCTATCTGTCTTTGAGACACCCTCTTCTCTCCCACCACCTCGATCACATGATCATGTTATTCCCCTGATTGATGGATCTAAGCCAGTCAAAGTCAAGCCATATAGATATTTACACAGTCAGAAGGATGAGATTGAAAGACCAGTACATGGTATGTTGGAAGACGAACCTAGTAAGAGTCCCTTCCCTTCACCAATAATCTTGGTCAAAAAGAAGGATGGATCATGGAGAGTCTGTACTGATTATAGGGCATTAAATGTTGTTACTGTGAAGGATACCTTTCCCATCCCAACAGTTGATGAATTAATTGATGAGTTATTTGGAGCCTAGTTTTTTTCTATGTTGGACTCGAAATCTGGTTATCACCAGATTTTGTTAAAGCTTGAGGATAGGTACAAAACAGCTTTCAGAACACATCATGGGCATTATGAATGGCTGGTTATGCCATTAAGGCTCACTAATGCTCCAGCTACATTCCAGAGCCTTATGAATGAGGTTTTTAAAGGTGTTTTGAGAAAATTTGTTTTAGTGTTTTTTGATGATATATTGGTGTATAGTCGTACATGGCATGATGATTTATTGCATTTAGAGTTTGTGTTGCAAACTCTCCAACAACAGAAACTATATGCTCGGCTCTCTAAATGTTCTTTTGGAGTTGTCCAAATTGATTATTTGGGCCATGTGTTATCTGGAGCAGGAGTTGCAGGAGTTGCTATGAAGACTTCAAAATTGGAAGCTATTAATAGTTGGCCACAACCTACGTCTCTCAAACAACTCAGAGGGTTTATAGGCCTCACAGGTTACTACAGAAGATTCATAAGGAATTATGCGTCTATGGCTGGCCCACTCACGGATTTGTTGAAGAAAAAATCTTTTCATTGCTCTAAATTAGCTTCGCAACCTTTTCTGCAACTCAAACAAGCTATGACTTCAACACCAGTATTGGCCATTCCTAATTTCAAGGAACCCTTTATTTTGGAGACTGATGCTTCAAGTTCCGGTATCGAGGCTGTTTTGAGACAAGCACACCATTCAGTGGCCTATTTCTCCAAGAAGCTATCTCCTAGAATGCAAAAACAATCTACCTATGCAAGGGAATTCTATGCAATTACAAAAGCATTGACTAAATTTCGGTATTACTTACTTGACCACAAATTCATTATAAGGACAGACCAAAAGAGCCTTAAAGAATTATTGGAACAAACATTACAAACTCCTGAACAACAACAAAGAAAATGTTCTTGCTGATGCTTTGTCTAGGAGCTTGTTTATGGCTTGGTCAGAACCTATCAGTAACTGGTTGATCAAAGTTGCAGAGGAAACAAAGAAGGATAACACACTCTTTGAGTTACTTAATCAGCATGCTCAAGGGGTTAAAATTGATCCTAAGTATGAAATAAAGGACGGGTTGGTATTTAGGAAAGGGAAGCTGATGATTTCTAAAGGCTCTTCCTTGCGACAACAAATACTTCAAGAATTTCACGATACCAAGACCGGGGGTCATGCAGGCAGGACCAAAACTGTTGCGAGAATTTGCACTAAGTTTTATTGGCCTAAAATGCAGGAGGATATTAAAACCTACATAAAAAATTGTAGCATATGTCAGCAAGAGAAGAGTGATCTGGTTTTGCCTGCTGGGTTACTACAACCGTTACCTATCCCTACACAGATTTCGAAAGACATTGCAATGGACTTCATTACTCATCTACCTTCTTCTCATGGCTATGCTACAATTATGGTAGTGGTAGATCGTCTCTCCAAATTTGGTCACTTTATTGCGTTGAAAGCTGAATTTAACAGTAAAACAGTAGCAAATGCATTCATCAACAATGTTGCAAAAATTCATGGCTTTCCTAAATCTATTGTGTCTGATAAAGACAAAGTTTTTATTATCTCTTTCTGGCAACAATTATTCAAACCGTAGGGCACCACCTTAGCTATGAGTTCTTCTTATCACCCACAAAGTGATGGCCAGACGGAGGTCCTTAACAAGACTCTTGAGATGTATTTACGATGCTTTGTTTATGAGAATCCTAAGTCATGGTATCCAATGTTATCTTGGGCACAATATTTGTATATTTCCTCATTTCATCACAGTATTGCAATGAGCCCTTTCAAGGCTGTGTTTGGTGGAGAAGCCCCTTCGGTTATTCCTTATCAGGTTCATTCTAAGGATCCTTCATCTCTGCAAGAAACCTTAATAAAGAGAGACAAACTTTTGCAGCAACTTAAGGATAACTTATTCAAAGCCCATAATTATATGAAGTTCCAAGCTGATAAGAAGAGGAGAGACGTTCAACTAGCAATGGGTGATTTAGCATTGGTGAAATTACAACCTTATAGGCAACACTCTATTGCCCTTCGAAAGAATCAAAAGTTGGGAATGCGATTTTTTGGCCCTTTTAAGGTGGTGCAGCGTATTGGTCCGGTGGCTTACAAGTTGGAATTACCAGAATTGGCTCGTATACATTCCGTTTTCCATATTTCATTGCTCAAGAAGTTTTACGATAACCAACAGAAACCATATTTCTCATTACCTCTTACCACAACTGAAATTGGCCCTATTGTTCAGCCTCAACAGGTTCTGGATGCCAGAACCATCCTCCGGAGTGGTATAGAAGTGCAACAATTGTTGATTCAATGGAACTATCAGACCCTAATGAAGCTACGTGGGAAGATTTCATCTTCATTAAGCAGCATTATTCTCAGTTCAACCTTGAGGACAAGGTTGATTTGGAAGGGAAGGATAATGTAACAGATAAAAACGTGAGAAAGTTGGTTATGGAGAAGAGACACGTGGAGATGGGCAAGAGACACGTGGAGGGTGATAAGGAAATTAAAGAAGGAAGAAAAAGCATGAGGCACAGAAAACCAAATATGCTTTTAAAGGATTTTCAACCGCGAGAGAAGGCATGGTGTTGGTAAGATTCCTCTTCCTGAAAATTCTGCTCCAAACTTCTCTACTATATCACTCTCTATTCATACCTCTGTCATTCTCTGCTTCAGGTTGATTCTGGATTGTACATGGCCTGGTGATTTACTGCTTAGTGACGTTTTCATTCTTTTATTACCTCGTACTGAAACTTTATTAAATACATTTTTTCTTTGTATTGTGTTGGTCACTGTTATACATATATCGAATATATATATATATATATATATATATATATATATATAT